AGGACCAGAAACTAGAAGCATTTGGCTTAAGCATTCGGCTGGTTAAGCTTTCAGGCTTTGGAGCAACACAGTTCAGCTGAGATTCATTCTGGATGAGGACTCAGACAGAGGCTTCCAGTCTGAGGAAACAGGACCAGCTGAGGAATTGGCAAGGTGAGATAGCTGTGGCTTGTTCTGTCTCTCTGACCTTCCAGTATTCACCCCAATAACCGGCCTTGGGTTTGATTGTATTAATAAGAACTTTTAAGATTCCTGCTACAGTAACCATTAGTGTGCATATATATAACATACTTCAATGGATTTATGGAGATGATAAGAGGAAAAAATGCTTTCCCTTTTTTCAAAACTAGATTGTGTTCACTATGAAAAGTGAAAATGATTGAGGCTCAGACATTAGGAAAGTGTTAGATATTATGACCAGTGTGAATGAATCCCTGAGTTTGACCTCTAGCTCTAGAGCACTAAGTGGCAAGTTTTAAAGGAAGTTAGTAGTTGAAATCAAATTGAAAAGGGTCTAGCCTAGAGCATGTGACAAAAGAAGGGCTAGTTCTTACTCCATCCTGTAAGTCTGACTGTGTAAAAAGCAGCTACATTTTAGAGAGGATAAGATTAATTCACTCATATTGAGTTTGTGACAATATAAATGAATTTGCAAAGGTATTTCAAAATTACCTATATCCATATATATATAATTTAAACTTTTAAAATATATATAAATATATGTGTGTGTGTCTTTTATCCTTATCAAAGAATGAAGTATCTATTTCTTTTTATGCTATTTTCCATCTCTCCAAGAGCCTTGCTAGCTCATGAACACATCAGATTTAGTACTAATTTTCATATTTGGCCTTGAGGACTCCTTTGGTATTAACTGTTATTTCTCAACATAGTTATATGGCCACTTGTGGTGGTAATCTAATTGTACTGAATTATTATTTTGATTGTATGTTAATAAATAAAGTTGTCTGGGAGTCAGAGCTATTAGAGCCATAGCAAGAGTGTGGCGGTGGTGGCACACGCCTTTAATCCCATAAGATCTCTGTGTGTTCAGGGATACAGCCAGCATTGGAGACATATGCCTTTAAGACCTAGGGGGCTGTACATTCAGACAGTGACGAGGCAGTCATGTGTTTGGGTTTACAACCAATGAGAAGGCAGAACAACATACTTTAAAAAAATGAACCGACAGGAAGTAGGTCTCTTTTCGCGAAGCTGGGACAGCAGGAGGAAGGGTGAGATTTTAGCTCTGAGCTCTGACTTCTCGGCTTTCTCTTTTACATTGTTTCTGTGTTTCTTATTTAATAAGACGGTTGGTTACATCTACAGCCACTTCCCTACACTGTTTCAATTTTCACCTGTATGTCAGAGGCTCCCCTCCCAGAATGACATATTCAATACTCAGTCTAGCTTCAGCTTTCTGCAACTTACCTAGGTGTTCCAGTTTCATTTCTCTTGGAGTGATGCACGGGGCTTGACATAAAAGCAACTTAGAGGAGAAAGGGTTTGCTCTTCTTACAATTTCTAGTTAAAATCAACCAGAGGAGAAGTTGAAGCACATATCAGAAGTAAGTCACATCATATCCATATTGTAAGCCATTAAGAAAATGTCCCCAAAATTTAGGAAAATTAAAATTTTGCACTAATAAATAAGTAATATTTATTTCATGAAAAAAAAAAAACAGTGGAAAAGATAAACACAGAAAAAGGACAATTATTTCTCTTTTCAGTCCTAGGACTTCATATGTTGCAGATCCAGGCAGGCCCTGACCATGCTGCCACTATCTCTGTGTGTCCATATGTGTACCAATCCTGTTTTGTCTAGAAGGCCTTGCTTTTTTGTTGTCCTTCATACCTTCTAGTTCTTTTCCAAAGAGATCCCTCAGCCTTCCAGAGAGGGATTGTATGGAACAATCCCATTTGGGACTGAGTATTTCAAGGTCTCTCGCTCTCTGCACATTATCTGGCTGTGGGTCTCGGGCTGTTTGCTCCCTTCTGCTGCAGGAATACACTACTCTGTTAATGGCTGAACAAGACACTAATCTATGAGAATAGCAGAATACCATTAGGACTCATTTTATTGCTACATAACTTTAATAGGCCAGTAGTATTTTGTTTTCCACAGGATGTTTGCCCTATTTAATCTCAGGGTTTATACCTTGACCAGCTTCGGATAGGGGTCCGTCTCATGAACTTAACTCAAATCAGATATTGGCTGGTTCGGTTCCTCTATTCCTAAACTAAAAGCCATCAAAAATTGACAAACACTTACAAATGAAAAATAAATTAATATTCTATAAAGGAATTTAAGTTGGGAAAAAAAAAAACACTGTGAAGGGAAGTCCCCATGCTGAACAGTAGGTAGCCAACCCCGAGCAAACTCAATGTCATCTCTGGAGCTTCTTTGTCTCATAATGTTGTATCAGGGAATTTTCTTTTCATCTCATCTCATCTCATTTCTTTCTTTCTTTCTTTCTTTCTTTCTTTCTTTCTTTCTTTCTTTCTTTCTTTCTTTCTTTTTTCTTTCTTTCTTTCTCTCTCTTTTCTTTATTTTTTAACTTACAAACCTTTTGTGTGTATTATGGTTTCCATTTTTGCCATTTTATGAGTCGTGTGTGTGTGTGTGTGTGTGTGTGTGTGTGTGTGTGTGTGTGTGTAAACTTATGTATCTCTGTATCTATACCTGTTTCTTGTGTGTTTTCTTTGGCCTTTTTTTTAAAAAAAAAATTGGTTGTTTTGTCCTATTCTGATTTGATTTGCTTTTTCTTATCTTTATTTCATTATTTTTCCTTAGGTGCCTATTTGTTTTCTAATGAGAGACTAAAGATGTGTAGATGCAGATGGAAGAGGAGTTGGAAATGAACTGGGAACAGGAGGCACAGAGGAAAGCATAATCAGAATATACTGTATGAAAAAATGTCTATTTTAACAATTAATTTTACAAATAAATTTTAAGTGTAACCAAGATTTATTTCAAAATATATTAACTATAATTGATTTATATATAAATAAAACTTTCCTCTTAATATATAAATTTTGAATGAATTAAATAATCCAATGTGTAATTAAAACCGAAGCCAAGGATAGCAGCATATATATTTAATTCCAGCAATCATGAGGCAAAGAACAAACTTATACAGAGTTAAACACAGAGAAAAAAAATGTAATTATAATGAAAATCAGGAAAATACAAGACTGAAAATAAGAACAGTGACAAGAAGATTCCCCTGAAGAGATGTTTAGGTAGACTGACCAAGGTATATAGCAGAATTGAGTTAACAGCAATGAGTAGTTTTCCCTTTCTCAATAGAGAGGATGTGCAAAGAGTCAGCAGAGGGAAAAGAATATAATCAATATATATACATACATATGTATATATATATATACATTTATATAATACACACATTATGATATATATGTATATATATGTGATATGAGAAAATATTTATTGCTGTAGGATGGTCTGTATGTCAAATGCTCTGATTGGTCAATAAATAAAACACTCATTGGCCAGTGGCCAGGCAGGAAGTATAGGCAGGACTAACAGAGAGGAAAATTGAGAGAACAGGAAGGTGGGAGGAGACACTGTCAGCCACCACCATGACAAGCAGCATGTGAAGACGCCAGTAAGCCATGAGCCATGTGGCAAGATATAGATTTATAGAAATGGATTAATTTAAGCTAAAAGAACAGTTAGCAAGAAGCCTGCCATGGCCATACAGTTTGTAAGCAATATAAATCTCTGTGTTTACTTGGTTGGGTCTGAGTAGCTGTGGGACTGGCAGTAGACAGAGATTTGTCCTGACTGTGGGCAAGGCAGGAAAACTCTAGCTACAATTTATAAACAGGATTTTAATTCATTCTCTCTCTCTCTCTCTCTCTCTCTCTTTGGTTTTTTGAGACAAGGTTTCTCTGTGTAGCTTTGTGCCTTTCCTGGAACTCACTTGGTAGCCCAGGCTGGCCTTGAACTCACAGAGATCTGCCTGGCTCTGCCTCCCGAGTGCTGGGATTAAAGGCATGCACCACCACCACCCGGCTCATTCTCTCTTTTTTTAAAATAGAAGGAGGAGAAAATAATTTTCAAAGGGTTATTACAAGGAAGAAAACCTGTCTCATGAGATTCAGGTGGTACACACAGCATAGATGTGCTTGAGAACTGGGTCCTGAGCAGAACAGAGTGGGATGGAATGATTGGTGTTTGCATACTGTTCAGGGTGGCATGAAATTATAATTAACAAATGTTTGTTTCTAAGTTTTTCATTAATTATATTTTTCGGTTGCAGCTTTTGACTGCATGTGACTACAAGGACCAAAAGTGAAACAGGAAAGGCTTACTGAATAAACAACCAGGAAAGAATTGTACCTTTTAGTCACTTATCTGACAAATCAATATTCTTGAATGACTCTTTTTGATAACTGAATATGTAAGCATCTTGTATCACCAATTAATCACAGAATCTTGACAATATAGAATACTATTATTTAGCATTCAAAACCCAGTAGTGTAATCTAACTGCAGAATTGGATGTCTCCATCCAAGTAGGATAAAAGATGATTATCTTCATAGACTGTGACAGCACTTAAACAAAATCCCATGTCCTTTTTATAACAAACAGATTCCTGTACCTGGGGTTTGTAATTTATTATTATTAAAATCATGACAATCTTAAATCATTGCTCATATAAGTAATAATTACAGGTGGCTGTATTGTACCTTTAACTGGAAAAAGAGCTGTCTATAGGGGAAAAAATCACTGTGACCAATTAATTTTAAAAAATGCCTAGACTAAAAAAAAATTTCAGAACAGTCCTTTCTCTTAATGTTTCTTGGAAAAACTGAATTTCATTTACAAACTATAAAATTGGAATTTTTCCTCTCACTATATACAAAAACTAACAAAATAAATCATAAACCATATATGAGATCAAAAAATATACAATTCTCAAATAAAGCAGTAGACATCTTTCTGACTTGCTTCTAAGCAAAACCTTCTTAGCTAATAAAAGTAAGGGCTAGCAAAGTAAAGACAAAGGTATAAACCAAACTTTATTAAAATAAAAAAATAAGTTAATGAAAAATGTAATGAAATTTAAAAACAAACCATAGAATGATTATTTTATATCATATTTCTGACAAAGAAGATCAATCAGAAGAGGAAAATAACTGCAAAACAAAGCTTTCACACTTTACAAAAAAGAAAAAAGAAAAAGATTAAACATTTCTGAAAAGACAACCCCTAAAAGAAATAGGACAATTTTAATAGAGTACCTAAGAGATATTTGATGAATTATTTATTGAGAACACACAGCTCAAAATCATAATGAGATAAACTCCACACAATGATATGGACATAAAAATAAAAGAAGAAGAAGACAGATGGTGTTCAGGCTTGGCAACGATGGGGAGAAATTTAAACTCTTATAGATTGCGTGTGGGAATGGAAGATGGTAGAAACATTTTAAAGGTTTGGCAGTTCTTCAAAAATATAAAGCTGCCATATGATCCAGCAATTTTGTTCCTCTGTATACATCCAAGAGTAATAAAAACATATGTCTACACTAAAACTTGTATAACCATGTTTACAGTAGAGTTAGACATATCCAAAAATTAGAGGGGCCAAATGACTACAAACTGATGGTTTAATAAATAAAAGACATGCCACAAATGGCACTTTCACAAAAATAAATTTTGCTAATACATACCACAATATGGATGAACTTTGGAAAATGAGGTGGTACCATCATGAAAGAAAACATTTTGTGTCATTTTATTTATATGAAATGTTCATTATCACAAATGGAGGCAAAATACACTACAATTTGAATATGAGTAGAGTGTTTAGAAGTGAAATGCAGCTCTACGATGGAATTTTATAAAGTTGAAGGTGCTTACATTCATGCAACTCTGTTAGCATACAAAAGAGTAAATTTCATGGTTTAAAAAAATTAATTTATATGTTGCGAATCTTGTGTTAATATAGGTTTTCAATTAAATAGGAAAAATTAACCAGATTTATTTTCTCTTTTATTATGTTTTAAAAGGTCTGCTTTTGGCTGGTTGGTGGTGGCACACGCCTTTAATCCCAGCACACAGGAGGCAGAGCCAGGTGGATCTCTGTGAGTTTGAGGCCAGACTGGTCTACAAAGCAAGATCCAGGACAGGCACCACAGCCACACAGAGAAACCCTGTCTCGAAAACATCAAAAAAAAGTCTACTTTCTTTTAGGCATCAACATTTTTTTTTTACATATAATCAAATATTCACAAGTACAATGGCACTATAGGTTCAGAGCGATTACTGCTCTAAAAGAGTTTGGTTCCCATGACCCATTCCTCTCCAAAGTATCCAGTAGTATCCAGTGCCATTTCTGAATTCTTTGGCATACCACATGTAGGTGTATAAACACAAACCACCAAACACACATATGCACACTCATAACCATACATATAAAAGAAATACAATGTGTACTGAAGAGCATATGTAAAAATGCATTCATCTTTATCCATCTCTCCATCTCTCTATAACTATCAATCAATCTAATCTGTTATATATTTATCAGTCACCTATCATATGTAATCTATCTATATCTATAAATCTATCTATATATATTTAAATATCATTTATCATCTATAACCTATCTATCATCTATCTAATTTATCTATCATTATCCTTGTCTAGGTATCTATTCATCTAACACATATTCTTTATATATTCACAATATAGGAACAAAGTAAAAGAAGGAGTGAGATAAGCTCATAATTGTGGGATCTTGGATAAAAGTACTACAAACTGATATAGATCTTAGTTATATACAAGTAGAAACAGTTCAAAATGAAAACATGCACATAAAAACAAGTGAATATCGGAATTTATTATTTGTAGTACATGGTGATGCGAAGATATGGGATGTGAAAAAGCTCAGTATGCGCAATCTTTATGTATTTGAAAAATGCATAACTGAAGTGGTGAAATTTAAACAACACTTAAAAGAAGAAAAAAGAAAAAGAAAAACTGAATCTGATGAGATAATGAGTGGGTAGATGATAACTTGCTGCCAAGTCTGATGACTTGAGTTTGAGACTCTGGACACACATATTAGAAGGAGAAAACCAGACCCCTCAACATCTACCATGGCATAAAGATACTTGCATATATACTTATAAGTAAAATGAAATAAAAATTAAAATGGAATATTGCAGTATATTAGTACTGTAGAAAATAAAATAATTTTAAATTACTCTAAGAGTTTTCAAGAGAAATATTTGTATAATACATATAATAGTCTTCATTTTATTTATTTATTTTTATTTTGTCACTTGACCATTTAGTGATCTAAGAAAGAGAGCCATAATTGAACATTCTCTAATAGGTGCTTGGAATAGATACCCAGTAAGAACTTATGAAACAATTAAAATTCATTAGTATGTTTTATTGTGAAAGAAATAAGCAGGTAAAAGATAGAAAATTTAATTCAGAAATTCATTTATTTTTGTCATTTTCTTATCTAAATTTTCTGGTTTCTTATTACCTTTAAAAGGCACAGGAAAAAAAGATATGCCCTTCTCTCTTTCTTCCTTTTTTGAACTCATGGACTTCTTTAATGTTTAGCCTGTGTGTATGATGCTGAAGATTACTGGTGCAGGTACAGTCTGCATTCTCCATACAACTGCATGTATCTGTAATGCATACTGTCATGTTCTAAATGGTATTTCCCCACCTCTATGATACAGGTTTCTCTAAGGAAGACGAGAGATAGGCTCTGGCATTTTGTGAATATTCTGTGGTGATAGATACCTTTTCCATACAGTTTTTTAATTAAACAATAGACGCATTTTACAAAAGCTATCAAACTGTCACACTGGAAAGCCATGCGATATTCCACTATAATCTTATATAAACTTTTAAACAACAAATAAATTTTCAAAAGGGCTACTTATTGGTGAAAAAGAACACATCAAATTCAACAATGAAAATCTTCTCAAGTCTACCAAAGTCAGAGTTACAGATTTCACGTACAAAGAAAAATATAATTATTTGATGATGTGCCAGATTTCAAATATTCAGACTTCATTTACCAATAAGGTAGTCATATTGACTCTGTAACTTTGTTTTTATATACAAGTAGATAATTAGGCCCCTAGTGATGGACATGCACTTTGTAATAAACAATACTTCTTCCAATAACACAAATATTTATCTTGTGAATCAAAATCTATAAATCCCACATGTATGAGACATTCATTTCTTAGAATCTGAATGAATATAATTTAAGAACTCAGAAACTTAATACTAGTATAAAAATAAAAAGCAAACCAAATTTAAGTGTTTTCATCTATGAATCTGCTATAGCTTAAGCCATTATTTCAACTCTCCCATGAAAGATGAAACATGACAATATGATATTAGAGTACAAGATACTGTGAATATGTTTTCATTTTATAAGACTTCTGTATTATGTGTCAAAACAATACAAACACAATTTTAAAATAATGAGCAATGTAGATCAAAAATGATAAATTGGCTTCAAAGAAAGAATGCTATAATAACAACCAGAAAATTAAATCACTCTGAAAATAAAATGCACATTTAAACAGAAGTGAAAACCACTATCAACACAATTCAATTTTATTATCATTGCTGTAATTCACACACTTTTAAACACAATGATCATACAATATTTGCATGTAAATACATTAATACATTTAATATATAAAATAATATGGAAAAATTTGAAACAAGTATAAAAAAACTACAAGTGCCAAATCAAATTAAAAAAAAAATCTCCAAGGTATCATTTTATTTAAATTATATAATAAAATTTTTAAAAAGAATACATTATTGTCATAAATGCCAAAAAAAATAAGTGTGATGGAATGGAAAATATAAACCATAAAAGTTTCAAGTAGATAACTTACATAAAATTATGAAAAATATGTTATCAAATTTTAATGAGCAATATGCTAATTTCTTAATATATCAAAAATCCCAATAAACAGACATTTGAAAGTACTAATATAGTTAAATTTACTGAGTAAAAAACAATGGATATGGATTTAAACAAGTAGAGTTTTTGAATTTTTAAACTCTCCTTTAATTTTGTGAAAATTCATTTCTTTAGAAACATGCTACATGTTAATATTAATATTGAATCTTTCTACCTCACTGAAATCATGTATTATTTAAAGCATTATTTTGGTGTATCCTTTCACATTTTGGCCAAGCGCAATATAATATCGTACTTTATAATTTAGTTGCCTGTATTCCTTTCATATACTTCATCTCTCTACATGTTATTATATGTCATTTTAAAACAACAATTTTGATGTTGGTGTCCTACTCAATGAATATAAAGAATTATCTATTATTTATCTTTTATCTATCTATATTTACTAGTCAATGATTGTCTTTTGATAAACAAGTAAGTTAATAAGTAACAAAACATAACTCAAAGATATTTCATTATTTTCTATATTTGTGCTGATATATTTGAGTCAAGTTCTCCCTATGTAGTCTAAGGTGGCCTCAAACACATGACCCTCCCACTGTAATCTCTAGAATGCTACCTGAACAAACTTACCTGACTATTGGTATATATTTTCCAAAAATGGTATTCATAACAGAACTTAGACAGTTTGTAAATACACTTACAAAATGCTTTGAAGTATTACAACAGTAATTATTTTGACTGATGAATAATAATAAAGACATAAATAAAGATCTTATTCCATATAACAAGATAAATTATTTAAATATACCATTCATATTTTGTGGTTTAAAGTAGAATTAAGAAGGTAAGTTGTGTTTTACCCATAAATCTGAGATTCCCTAAAGTTATATATAATGTATTAGAAATAAACATATGAGCAACTAAGTAATTATGAGATTAAAATGTTCATTACATTACATGCATTAAACTATTAAATAAACAAAAGTAACATTTCATGAATAGAAATACTTACAAATTCATTACAAATGCCCCATAATAACTGATTGTTTCACATGGATGAACATTTCACTCATCTAGGAAGATGTGTTTATGGTATGTGACTTCTGTTTACAGTACATCCAGTTATGATGCCTTGAACGACTGCTATGTCTCATTGTTCTCACCAAATGATAACAAATAGAGTAGCAATATAACTCATGTATATTTGAACTGGCATAAGGAAGCATTCACAAATACATATTCAACATAAATTCACATAACTGCTTCCACATATATTCCTATGATCAAGAAAACATACTTTATTTTGAGAAATATAAATATTTCTTTGACAAAGAGCTATTCTTTTTTTTTAAATTTTATTCATTTTACATACTGACCACAGACCCCCCCATCTCTCTTTCCAATCCCCTGCACCTTCCTACCCACCCCCAACCCCTCCTCCAACAGGGTAAGTTCTCCTATGGAGGGGAACAGCCAAGCCTGGAACATTGTTAGAATGCAGTTATGGATTATGTTGGTAGTTGTAGGTTTTCCTCAAGGAGCTCACTCTTCACTAGTCCTGGGTAGTTGGCTAGGTTTCTATACCAAGAATGATTTCTCTTTTGTTCAATAGACTTTTAGTCCATTAGAGTGCTGTTGGTTAGCACCAAGGTATGTGTGCCAGTAGCATGCTCTCAGGGTTATCACACTATGATTATCACAGTGAGAGCTGGGTAGAAACTACATCATTCAAAACGCAAAAAACAAGTGATGCTGTGGTACCCAAGCTCAGTTGATGAATTTACAGGAAACATCCTGGAGTTGTACTTAGTTTTATGAGTAAAATGGAAGAGGAAGTAGAAACATTGTAAGAGCAAGAGTAGCAGGAAGTGTGCTATAGATTTCATCTCCTAGATGTCAGAGAAGGTATACTTATAAAGTCTCACCAGCATGGATGCCTAAGCAAGAACCAGACCAGGACAACAGTAATAAGCATGCTCTCAGTGAAGGGGGAAATCTCATGGTTTATCAACTCTACACAAAGTACTATAGTCAACTAAGGAATGCTGAGATTTAAAGAAGTGGTTTTCTTCATTGGGGAAAAAAAAAAGCCCAGATTAATTATTTAATACCAAGTGGTGTCTGCTCTGAGACCCTGTACAAACAAGTAATATTTAATGACTTAAAGGGTGTATATATATTTACATATTTTAATGTATATATTCATTTATGGTGACATATATATGGATAATCTTATATATATGGTGACACATACACTCACACACACACTGTCTTAGTTAGGGTTTCTATTGCTGTGATGAAACACTATGATTCATAAAGTAAATTGTGGAGGAAAGGGGTTATTTGGTTTATGCTTAAAGATCATAGTCTGGGCCTGGTGGTGGTGATGCATTCCTTTAATCCCAGTACTCAGGAGGTAAAGCCAGGTGGATCTCCATGAGTTTGAGGGCAGCCTGGTCTACGAAGCAAGATCCAGGACAGGCACCAAAACTACACAGTGTAGCAGGAATGTTAAAGAGTCTTATTAATAAAGTCAAACCTGAGGCCAGTTATTGGGGTGAATACTGGAAGATCAGAGAGACAGAACGAGCCACAGCTACCTCACCTCGCCAGATCCTCAGCTAGTCTTGTTTCCTCAGACTGGAAGCCTCTGTGTCCTCATCCAGAAAGAATCTCAGCTGAACTGTGAAGTTCCAAAGCCTGAAAGCTTAATCAGCCAAATGCTTAACCAGGCCAAATGCTTCTAGTTTCTGGTCCTCAAGCCTTATAAACCTTTTTGCTTTCTACCATCACTCCCTGGGATTAAAGGTTCACTTTCTGGGATTAAAGGCATGAGTCACTATGCCTGACTCTTTCCAATGTGGCCTTAAACTCACAGAGATCCAGAGGGATTTCTGTCTCTGGAATGCTAGGATTAAAGGTGTGAGTACCACTATTTTCTAGCCATTGTATCTAGTGGCTGTTCTGTCTCTGACCCAAGATAAGTTTATTAGGGTGCACAATATTTTGGGGAACACAATACCACAACAACACAGAGAAACACTGTTTTGAAAAACAAACAAACAAACAAAAAGACCATAGTCCACATGGTCCATCATTGGAGGAAGTCACAACAGGAACTCAAGGAGCGGTGAAACCTGGAGGCAGGAGCTGATGCAGAGGCCATGGCAGCAGAGCTGTTTACTAGCTTGCTTCCCCTGGTTTGCTGAGCCTGCTTTCATATAGAACCTAGAACCACCAGGCCAGTGATGGCACAATGCACAATGGCCAGGAGCCTCCCTGTTGACCACTAATTGAGAAATGCCTTAAGGTTGCTCTAATGGAAGCATTTCCTCAAATGAGGGTCCTTTCTTTCTGATGACTTTCTAAATGATGCACAAAACCAGCCAGTACACACACACACACACACACACACACACACACACACACACACGCACAAACAAAACGTGTGTGTGTGTAAATATATATTATATATATATATATATATATTATATTTACATGGCAGTAAAATTATAGAAAAAGAGGCCATGAATTTGAGAGAGAGCAAGGAGGAAAAGGGTGTATGGGAAGTTTTGGAGAAAGAAAAGCAGAAATGATATAACTATTTTTGTTTCAAAATTAAAAAGTTTTCTGCAAAATTAATTTTATTTAGCATAGAGAACTTAGCAATATTGTATCTCTAGAATTTGGTATATCAAAAACATTCATTGTAGCAAAGGCACCCTAGTAAACTAGAAAATAGTATTTTTTGGTATATAAATGCATTCTACCATTCTCATGAACCATGAGTTAGTAGAATCTCTGAAAGACACTGTGTAAGATATTCAAACTGGCATTCATTATTTGATATCCTCCTCATTAAAGAATATTCCATGTCTTATTCCTTTAAATCACAGCAGATTCTAGAACTCTTATATCTTCCATTGTATTAGTTTTTATCAGCAAACACGAGAAGAAAACGTGAGGATCCATGACTGTGCTGGTACACAGGTCCTTATTTTCACAGCTTAAGATCACTCACTACCTATGCCTTGAGCAATTGCTTTTGGAATTGGAAGGTTCTGTAAAGGAAGGCTAGCTATGTGTTGTCCTTGTCCTTGTGGAGATACATTAGGGGTGGAGGTAAGCGCTTGGCCCTAGCTCTAACTAGGGGAGGCTTTTGTCCAAATCCAACTATCTCAAACATCAAAATGTTATGACGTTTTCTGGAAGAGTTTTTAGTTTTGTAGTTGTTTTTGTTACTGTTTTTTGCTTGTTTGTTGTTTGTTTCTTTGTAATTTGCATAGGATCAGAACAGTAGACTGGCTGACTAAAAGGTATCCATCCTGCTCACTTACCTTCTGCATGATGGGGCACAGGACAGGCATAGCACAAGCCATCACATCCAGACATAGACATGACTAACTTTCTAGTTATGACTAGAAAGACGACAAGGTGAAGATTTGATACACGTTATCTTAGGTGGAGTCATCCAAAGTTTGAATGTGTACTTTAACTTATATGTGGAGTTGTCAGAAGACATGTTCCGTGTTCCCGTCCTAATGTTGTATGATATGCTTACTGAAGCTTGGCATTCAAAGTAAAGTATGTAATGTTATATATTCACTTATAACTAAATTGTGAAAAAATAATTAAATACAGAAGGGTGTTGATATTTTGAAGAGTTTATGATGAAATATATGGAAACATTTCAAGCTGGTAAAACATACGCTTGTTTTCTCTGTGGAAATATTTGCTTATATAGTGAAGGATGAAAAGAAAGATCTTTTCTGTTAATTTTCAAATGTGACTCTCTCAGAAGGGTAGAGCTAAAGCATACTTTCTTCTTTAAAATGGTCACAGTTCATCACAGTGTTGGGTGGAGCTTACATAAGACTGCTTAGATATGTATGATCATTCTGATCCTCGCAGAGTGACCTTCACATGAGTAAATCACACAGCCACTACACATGGGGAAGTAAACAGTGACAATCCTCTTAGAAATATTTTCATCTCTATGTAGAAAGCTCAAGACAACTAAAATATTCTAATAGATCAATATTCATTACAATGCAAAATGCTATTTTTCAGTCTTCCTCCAATGTTATCAACTTGTGTGTTATACATAATATGAATCAAGAAGAGAACTATATTATAATGGCAACCTATAACAATTTCCTAATTATGAATATAATAAAATTGGAACAATATCTTGATTTGTTCTACACATTTTCTGATGATGTGTTTTCTTTTAATATGAATCCTTTCAATTGGGATATTTACTAAGAATGAAGTAAGAGAATGAATGGTTTTTGCAGCCTTTCATAAATTATAACTCTGGAATAATAGTTAATAACATACTGTTCTATAAGAGTAATACTTCATAGAAAAGACTCGCAATTTGCCAAAGCAATTACTTAATGGTGTAGAGTATATTATGTCTCACAAATGTTTGTGAATTTCTTTTTATTTAACATAATATTCAAATCAACTAATTTTTCAATGACTCACATTATCCGCTAGGGAACATGATGAGTGTCATGTCTCATTCAAAATTAATTCAGCCAGGAAAATATATAGGAAAACACAATCCAGTTTCTCTTGAAGAGTCCTCATCAGTAGAAAACACACTCCAAGCCAATCAGTGTATCAGTTATACATATTTATAGATTTTAGTCACATTATTTTGTAGTCATCTTATATTGTCAGGATAAAAAATGATAATACATATTTCGAAATGTATTTTGTCACAAATGGTTTGATCATTAGTTTGAAAGTTTATAAATATTTACTTAGTTACATATTGATTCAAATACATCTCCGATTACATGAGGTTTATATCAGTCCTTTTAATATGCAATGCAATGCATCTCTTACTACTTTCTCAAGGCAGTTAAACCATCTGTAGAAAACTTGTTTATTTATTTATTTATTTATTTATTTATTTATTTATTTATTTATTTATTTATTTATTTTTGGCTTTCAAGACTGGGTTTTTCTGTGTAGCTCTGGCTGTCCTGGAACTCATTCTGTATTCCAGCTTGGCCTTGATCTCACAGAAATCCACCTACCTCTGCCTCCCAAGTGCTGGGATTAAAGGTGTGCACCACTACCACACAACTAGAAAACATTTTTAAACTAAAAATCTTA